GTAGTAAAACTGTACATACACTGATCATATTTGTAGAATTCATAGTGTCACTACACACCTGGAATTCTATTTGGAATCTAATAGACTACAGTTATTGTGATGTACTACCCACAGTAATATTTTCACTAATTCAAAGCCTTCCTTCTTTGTAAGGTAGAATTTGTGGCTCAACTTATTCAGTCTGCTTTTAAGTATTTTTTTTTTTCCAAAAAATGTGTTTTTGCAAAGGTATAAATTAAATAGCAAGAGTCCAAAGCATCTGAAATAACTGCAGTGCAAAACAGCTGACTAACATAATGAAGGCCTAAAAGGTTAACCTATTCAGAAAGCAAAAGTCGATTAATTTAACAGTAAAGAGGTTGATTTCAAGTTGAGGTGGAAGGAAAAAAGAAAGACTTTTCGATAAGCAGTAAAATAATAAATACTGCAAAAGTTAATTTACTGATAAATAATATTCTGCACTGTTACACGATTTTTTTTTGTGTGTGTAACTGAAAAAATGTTGATATGTAATAAGGAATAAAACTACAAAATTCAGCTTTGGACAAAAAGAACAGTGGTAAGCAAATCTTCTCTTTTATGGGTGAAATTATTAATTACTTAAATGTTTTCCATAAATTGTTTTCTAAGAAATCATATTTTTTAACCACTCGTGTGGCTGCTCTCATATAAAAATGTACCGTATTACCAAACGCAATGTTTGTGATTGATAGTCTATTACCCACAACACTAGCTTACCATGAGGTTGGACCTTACAGCATATTTAGTAACTGCAGAAGGGAGAATTTCAAATGGAACTGAAACCTGTGAAAACCTGTAATTGCAGCTATGAAAAACTACGTTAGGATGCTTCCTAGGCAGTAGGAAAAGACAGCCTTTTATAAACAACATGACTTAGAAAGTTTCTGCTGGTAAGGGATGTATTCTCCAAAGGAACTTGCAATTCCCTTTGGTAATATAGAGCGACTGGATATACAAGTGTATTACTGTAGCGTGCGCATGCCTGCTCCTAGGTGTAAACAATTAAGTGGTTTGAATATTTCGCATTGTGTTAATGACAGTTGAAACACGATGAAGAGATAACTTTAAGGGCAAGCAGAGAACTGCTTGTAGGAGTAGTAGTCTGTTAATCATTACTGGATTGTTTAAATCCTTTCCAAATTAGTAATGCATGCTTACTGAGAATAATACCTGAAGATAGATTACCCATCGTATCTAATATGTCAAAATTATGCATTTTCATTCCCTAATGCTAATCACTGCAGTGAATAATTTGTAGAAAAACACCCAAGAAATAATACACTCTCTCATCAGAAATTCTCTTTCTTTAATCAATCTATATTGTGATTTTTAAGATTCCCTTATATCCCTAGTATATATTTTCAGAACAAACATATCTCAGCTAAAACCACAACAGTACCATATAGAAATGCAAACATTTGTACTAAAACTGTAACATGGAAAGGCACCTGATTTGTACGTACAAATCACTTTGTAATTCACTGGGATTTATACATTTTATTTCCTTCAGTCCTTTTAAAACCCCACCTTTAGAGTACTTTCTGCTATATCTAATTTTTTAAAAACTAGTTGATTCAATTATTATTATTATTGGCAGTAGTGATTGTGATTAATGTTAATAACACCCAATACTCAGCTTCATATGTATAATCAACAACTGCAGTTGATTATATTCATTAATGAACCATATTAAGAATGATACCTTATTTTTCATGTACTTGGTTTTTTTACATATTAAATATAAAGAAAAACACAAAGATGACTTTGTAGGGAGAAATCACTGAAGTGCCTCTGGGCTCCAAACAATTTATGGCTGTCTAGCATTTACTTCAGATAAAAGGCAGGGTTAACTGCACCCAGATGGTATCAAACCTGATAATCTCCTTCTGTCCTGGAGAACTGCTCTTATCATCAAAAACAACCTCAACAGAGAACAAGGATAAAGTACAGAAACTCTGTGCAATCCCACTGTCAGTTTAAGTCTCTGATAGAGGACAGTAAGTGAAGGATGAGACAGTGATACCAGGGCACTTTGTGTCGCCATTAGGGATGTTTAACTGCACTGTCGTTTGAGAATGTGCCAAGAACATGCCTTCCCTCCTGACAACAAAAACTACCAAATGCTTTAAACACATATAAAGAAGACTACTGATATTATGGAGTAGCATTAAGTGCATCATTTTTTCATGTCTAGTAGCTATGGAACAATATCTACAAATAGGCCTCGGTTCTTCATTTATGTTTTAATTGTAAAATACTGAAATTTATACAAGAATGTTATTAAAATAATAAAAATTCTGATAGAATGGTCTACTAGTGATTATGCAAAAAGTGAACCTGAAAAAAGATTCATCTCAAAACTAAGTCTGAAGAGAAGAAAATCAAAATCAATTCATAGAAATTACATGATTTTTCATATTTGTAATTTTGTAAATGAATATTTAAAAAAAAAAAAAAAAAAGCAACCCTGATAGCAATGTTCATATAAACAATATACTGAAAAAAAGATCAATAGAAAGAAGGTCAAATCATTTATTCAATACCAACTTCACTAAATCTCAAAAAATTCCCCTTTTCCCATTTTTGCTGTGAAGACCAATCAGTTATTTAGTTTTTGAACACGTAACTTTAGGTGAAAGTTTCTTACTTGCTAATTATAAAAGGAAATGATGAATGAAAGGTAACTACGGCACTTACTATGAAACAAAACACACGCACATAAAAGGGGGAAAAAAAAAGCAGTTGGAGAAAAGCACTCTGCTACTTTTGGCAACAAAATGCTATGGGGAAAGAATGATAAGAATCATCTTCTGACAGATCACTTGATAAGACTGTTTCATCACAGAAGGTTATGACAGAAACGAGACTGATGGAGGATGAGGCCAGAATGAAGACCCTGTCCTCTGAGGACACTATTTTAAAGGGCAGAAGTCTTTGCCATTACACAAGATGTTTTTTTTTTTTTTTTTTTTTTTTGCCTAGGTGAGACAAGCAACCCACAGTTGCAGTTTCACACACTGATGCAAAGTTACTTTCAACACAAATTTAAAACTGCTCTAAGGGGTTAGTCAGAATGCCAGCAGAGACAGACTTACATTGTATCACTCAAACATACTAGCACTGCATTATAAAATTACTGGACTCTCATTGGTATGAAAATGTTTCTATTTTTGGTATTCAAAGAACACCTGTGCTAGAAAAAAAAAAAAAAAAAACCCACGTTATTTGGCTCAAACTTCATATCGGTTCAAGTTTTCAAAACTGGAGATTCCAGTTTTATAAATTTCATTTTACATTAGATTAAAAAAAAATCTTGTGTTATATATAAAAATAATCTGATGATAGAATAACATAAAAAATGTTTTTATCACATTTCTAAACTGCAATGTTTTGTGTCAAAAAAGTGTTTGCACTAATGCATAAACTCAGGATCAAAACAATATGCTAATCCATCTTCACACACAGATTGCTTCTATACATACTGCAAATTAAGTGTGCCATACTACTCACATTAATTCAATTGGGACATATTGGAATATTTAAATTAATAGACTATCTTTTCACCCTGAAAAATGTTAAAATGACATAAAATGTATAAACACAGAAATTTTGTTGTGACCTTTGGTATGAATTCTATGCTTCTAATGAATTCTTCATTTTCTGTTGCCTATGTTTCATAAAATAGGACACATTCTATAACTCCCTTGTAAATTAAAAAACAAAAAAAACAAAAAAACACAAAACCACAACAGTATTGAATTTTAAGTCATAATGGCTATATAAACTTAATCAAACAATATATTTTACGTCATTTTACCTATAGGCTAAGATATGATCTAGAACTGTACAGAAATTTTAAAGGAGCTTCAATGAACTTTCATTTTTATCTAATACAGAATTTTTCCCTTGAATACATAAAATATAAATAATTAGCAGTGCACCAGAAAGTCCCGAGTCAGTATTTTAAACTCATATGCTTCTAAAAGAGTAATGTTTTGCAAATTTCAAATTCCTTCAAATATCTTTTTTTTTTTTTTTTTTAAAGAGATTATGCTAAAGCAATTGCAGTTACTTCTTCTACGACACCTGAGCTGGCAAATCTTTGCATTCCTAACATCCAATTCCAATGTGGAAAAATTTGAGTTTCAGATTTCTTTCCTATAATAAACATTTAAAAAAATAACGGAACATGCAACAGTGTACTGAAGTAACTTTCAGAACCCTTCCAGAAATCAATTATTTGATAGTCTGCAAACGTTACTGATCTCTGTATCATAGATACAGAAGTTTTGCTTCAGAAGTTTGAATAAAAGGTTTTAAGAGACAATTTTCCGCTGTATTTTCCTGTATTTGAAAATAAACACCCTCTGATGGCTTCTAAAACATCAGACTCTTCTCCAAGCAAAAGTATATCTTATTTACCTCCTAGACAAAATTCAAAAGTTTTGACTGAAATGGTCTGTCCACAAAGCACCATGTGTGAGTAAAATTGTCACAAACCTTGAACTCCATGAGGAGATGTAACAAAGGGATACTTTCAGGGTATTAAGAGAGCTAAATAACAAAACAAAACAAAACAAAACAAAAAAAAAAAAAAAAACAGGACCAAAGAGTATTTAATCTTAGAAGTTTAAGCTCCAACCTCAGCTGTTGCTCAAATCAGTCCTTACTGAATACTTTGCCCCCACTGCAGTCTCCCCTAGCCCAAAGAATTGAAATTTGGCATTAATTAAGTAGCTAGAACAATTAGAATATGATATGAGATGAAACCCTGTTGCGTTTAAATCCCTGACAAAGACTCACGTAAACTTCAAAAAAGCAAAGACTCCTCCACAGAATTCATTATCACTGACTACAGAAGTACATACTTTCTTAAATTATGCAAGTTTAAACATCAAGGAAAAACTGATCTTCCATTAAGAATGTACTTTTGTTTTTTAAAACAATTTTTAAAGAGAAAACAAAATATGGGAACTTACATTCAATATCAAGGTACATGCTCTTTTGGTGCCCACCAATTCTACTTGCAGCTTCACAGTCATATCTCCCTGAATCTGACAACTTCACATCTTTAATATGCAGTGACGATTTTCCATGCTGCCCTTTGACTTCTATACGGCCATCTGGGCTCTGTTTACATTGATTTAGGAAAAAGAAAGGTTTTATACAGATATGTATATTTATATATGCTTTATATATTAAACACCACTGATACAGTATGACTGAAAGCATTTCTTCACCTGGGGTGAAACTATTACTGACAGATAGGCAATTTCAAAATTTGTCAAATGAATTAAAAATATAGAGAGAAGATGCTGTTCTAGGCACTATAATCATGGGAATAAGTACATGCTTAAAGGAACACAGTCAAGGTAAATAACAAAAATTATCAACTGGCCCGGTGAATGACATACTGAAAGCCTGTTTATGACCGCATTTATTTTGCTATGATGATGTGGTTAATGAAAATATTATGTGTAAAATCAGTGTCTCATGTAACAGTTGGCATTATCACTGCTGTTCTTAAAGTGCCTCTGAGATCCCACAAAACAATGATCAAAGTACAAATCCAGTCACAGACTTCTACATTGCATTATTTGTATTTTCTTGTCAGAAGCTTAAAATTATTAAAAACATGATCCACAGATGTAACTCGAATTTCTGGATTTCACTTTTATATCATTGCAAGGAAGAAGGGAGGAGATAAAAATGAATAATAGCTCCCAATTTTCTAGAGAATAATTTTTATATTCATCGACTTGATAAAAAATCTCCTAATTCAAACCTATTTGACTTTCAAGACTATTAAAGAGGAGGGAAAAAAGTAAAAAAAAAAAAAAAATCCAGTTATTTACACTTCAACTTCCATGGAGAAGCATACCTGAGAGAAAAAAATAAAGTTATTTTTAATCTGGCTCTACAAATTACTTGTTCTGTAGTATGTAGTATTGGGAAACTTTACTTCTTTGTTTCATTTTTATTTCATTTAAGAAAAAAAAAAAGGCTTATACAAAATAGTGATGTATACCTACCTTCATTACTAAGAAAAATGGAAAAGGAAGAGAAAAAAACTTTAATGTCCAATTCTATAACTATATATATTCATGACCTAACACAGATTGTTTCATCAGTGAATGCAGGAAAATATGCATACAATTAAGGATACTAATATTCAAAATAAAACAGTTGTATACAGTACTATTTACATCAGATTTCTAAGAAGGAAAAGAGCATCGGACTCCATGAACACTGAATTATGTTTCCTGTGAAAATTTTCTCTGATATAGATATAGCTCTTATATACCTATATTTTACAAGCACAATATAAGTATAATTTATCTAATGATTATTTCCTTATTATATATTACATGTACTTAGGCCAATTTATTTCTGATTTTAACTTAGCTAGAAGTATTTCTCAAAGAAGCCAAAATTTAATTTGTGAAAAGATATACACTGAAACAACCTGTAACAATGATTCATAGAAACATCAAAACATCAAAAGGAAATTTTTTTCAGTTCAACACTAATACCAAATACTGAAATTCACTATATAATCATAGAATCATAGAAAGGCCTGGGTTGAAAAAGACCACAATGATCATCTAGATTCAACCCCCTGCTGTGTACAGGGTCACCGACCACCAGACCAGGCTGCCCTGGTCTATAGATATAATCACTGTAAAATACATTCACAATAATTAACTCCATACATTCCAAAGCAGAGATACGAGTGTAAATTGATGTTAAGGAAAAAAAAAAAAAAAAAGAATCACGAAGATCTCTAAATACAGATCACAAAAGATTCTCCTTCTTGCCTTATCTCATTATTTTCTACTGCTGAAAAATACTCCAAATATTTTGCTACATAGACATTTAGTATGTACCTAGAGTAACTTTCTGAAGTTGTATGTATGTATGTATGAGAAAACACATTTCATTTGAACATGGATAACTGAAAAATAATAACCCTTAGGGAAATTGACTTTTTATCTCTCTAGGGAAAAAGAAAACCAAAACATAATCAATACTCTGAATGGAAGAAGATTTTTGACAACCACAACATCTACTCTCACTATCACCAAACGTTTACTAAGAAGCACTTTGAGGCAGATTTATGAGTTGATTCAATTGATTTAAAAACCAATGAGATATTTTCATTCAAAGCCCACAAAAATGAATAAAACGCATAACAATTATAGGAAATAAAATAATTTGGCCCTAATGATTCAGAAAATATCAATATTTAACAATTAACCTCAAGTTTTTCAAAACTGTGTGAGAATGACCTCTTTGAAATTGTTCATAAAATAATGCAAAATATGTGATATTTTTTCGCTGCAGTCCACAGAATGTGTATATTCCTCTGATTACTTCATAAGCAGTTAAGTTGTTCCTGGTCCTATCCTGCAGGTGCCTTACTACAGCACTTCAAAGAATCAAGACTAATTGACACAATTCCATTCATTATTCTGTACTTCACTAAAATATATTGTTGAACAAACATTCCTGACAAACAAAAATATATGAAATGTGAGCGCAAATAAATTCCAAGAAAATTCTCAAATAAGTAAATGAATAAATAAATAAATAAATAGAAATAGTTGTCAATGTCTATAGATGATTCCCAGACTATCCCAAAGAGAAATGCATGCCTATTAAAAATGCTAGAAAATACAATCATTTTCCACACAGATTTCAAAAATACCACTGTGTCTGTATTTCATCATTCTACAAAGTAAATTGGCTAATAGGCATCTGGGTAAATAAATGAAGTACATACTGGGATACTATAAACAGGTACAGTAACAGCACAAACACACTGAAGCATAGCTTGGAAAGAATGGAGCAAAGTGACAGAAGCTGACTGCTTTGGACTCCTATGAAGAGCAGTGAAGAAGATGGGACAATATAACACACAGCTTTATCCTGAAGTAAAAACTGAAACCACCCTATATTTTCCTGATCTTCTAAGTGGTATTATCAAAATTAGAATATACTGAGAAAGAAGTAATCTGCTTTAATCCATGTCAGTCTTTTTATCTAACTTGGAACTGCAGATACAAAATGTGAAACAGGGACAGCCCTAATCTTGGACACTGCACCAATCAGAACTTGATATCTCCTGGTAAAATCCTTCTGAGGTTTAATTCACTCCTGCAGTAAGTATGGACAGCACACATTAGCATCATTTCTCTCACAGTAGCAGACCAGAGCTGGAAAACGAAGAGGAACATGAAGTACACTGCATCCTAGCTGGAGAAATAGTATAGGTGTTGCCATAGATGAGAACTCAAAACATAGACACAATCTCTATAAATTGATAATGCTAATTCTAATCTGCCTGAAATGAATACGGACACTTACAGAATGGGGGTATTCTATTTTTTCCATTTCAAATACTGTAGGGGAAGAGATTTAATATATATATTACTATGTTCTTGTTCTGCTAAACTGAGCATGGTTTTATTTCTTAGTAGTATTAAAGAATGCACGAAATAGAGAAAACAAAAATGTGGACAGCCAGAACGGTCCATGTGGTTCAATGCTCGTGACTCCTGCAGACTCACTGAATTACTCTGTACAACTGCAGATTATGAATAATCATTGAAGTCTGATAACACATACATGACCAAAACAGTTCTAAATCCATGAACATGTACATTAGAAGGCACTTACACTCAAAGGCACAAGAAGAATTATTTCAATAAACAGATCATTGCGCATCTTGCAAATGCTACAGAAAAACAAAGTGTTTAGAAGTTACTTTTTTTACAGGGTTATGGAAATCCCAATAAAAATCAAAATATTTTCCAACATGACTGTTAATCAAATAATTTTGTAAAAGGCATTAAAAGTTTTCTCTTCAGTACAGGCTTTGACAAATTTTTACTCACATGTAGCTGGCTCTATGAGTTTACTGCTCTCTACAACTACCTGAAAGGACATTGTGGAAAGCTGGGGGTCAGCCTCTTCTCCTGACAGGACTCTTAACTAGTGACAGGACTAGAGGAAATGGCCTCAAGTTGAACCAGGGGAGATTCAGGTTGGATATTATGAAAAAAATTCTTCAAAAGAGTGGTCAGGTGATGGAATGGGCTGCCCTGGGAGGTGGTTGAGTCCATGGAGGTGTTCAAGAAATGCTCACAAGTTGTACTAAGGGATGAGGTTTAGCGGGGAAATATGGTTGGTATGTGGATGGTTGGACTGGATGATCTTAGGGGTCTTTTCCAACTTTGGTGATCATACGATTCTATAATTCTATCCATATAAACTTTATAATGTTTCAAAGAGAGAAAAAAACAACCTTAGGTATTTCAAATACTGATAGCAGTCTAGTCCTCTGTCACTGTCAAAGAAAACAAAATTGAACAAGATTGTTCTATACATTAAAACTACAAATAACAGCAACATTTAACTACAAAAAAAAAAAAACAAGATTTTTCTACAATTTCAATATTCTGACTTGCAAAACAATAATTAAAAAATGAGTGCTATCTCATTGCTTGAGATTAAGTACAGATATTAAAAGTAAATAATTTTCATTTTATGACGAAAATTTATAATGCTGTCCATGTTGTTCTATTACAGGACCTTTTCTATTAAGCTCTTTCTTTACTTCTGACATGACTTCAGTTCCACACATGAATATTTCCCACTTCTGGACTGGCTAATGCTGCCCCGCCTGGACAGCACACAGCTCCAAAACCATGTCCTAGAGCTCCCAAGGTGGTATCAGAATGATGGTAACCATGTATTTCAAGGGTTCCACATGCTGAAGAGGCATGTAGCTTTCAGGAAATGACAGAATAGTGAGGTGAGAGTGCAACACCTGCAAAGATACATGAATAGCATCTTGGACAGAATAACCTAGGCTGATACTACTGAGAGTTAAATCTGCACAATCCCATTGGCGTTGTAATTTAAGAAGTATCATTTCTCAGGAGGGGAGAACTAGCTGATAATGATGCTTAGATTGTCACTCTTTTTGAATTATAGATAGCAGTAATTGAGAAGAGGTGAATGCTGCAATTAGCGGTTGAGTTTGATTTATCAACCATTTCTCCATCTCTCACTGAGGAACTGTAGTACCAAATGAGATGAAGTTGTATGACAACCAAAACATGCAT